CAGAAGTAGGTAAAACTAGAATTTCAGGTCTCACTTTCCAATTTAGTGCTTCTTTTTCCATACCATGAAAATAGCTACTTTTACTATTAACTTACAATATGGATTCTGAAAACCCATAGTAGGGCACTTCTTTGCTTTGCATTGATGCTCATACTTGAAGATTCAATGCCCATATACTCTGCTCTCCCTCTACCCTCCAAACCCATCTGCATGGTATGAGAGACCCACTGATTATCAATTATTGGTGTCCCTCAGTAGCATATTCCAACATTAATATAAAAGAAAGTGATCCCCACCTGGAAGGGTAAACCTAAGTTATCTAAAGTGACTATCTCCAAAGACTAAATCCTCTAGTGAGTTCCTCCCTTCTGTATTGTTATCAGAGTTGCAGCCACTCTGCTGTATTTGTTTGCAGGTTTCTTTTTTTTTTTTAATGTTTTATTTATTTATTCATGAGAGTCAGAGAGAGAGAGAGAGGGAGGCAGAGGGAGAAGCAGGCTTCCCGCCTAGCAGGGAACCCGATGCGGGACTTGATCCCAGAACCCCGGGATCATGACCTGAGCCGAAGGCAGACGCTTAACCATCTGAGCCACCCAGGCGCCCCTGTTTGCAGGTTTCTTAAGCCATAATCAACATACAGGAGACTGTGTGAATTTAAAGTATGAAAGTTGATTTTTGACAAATGACACTCATGAAACCATCACCAGAATTTAGATAAGAAACATATCCAACACCCCAAAATGTTCCTTATACCCTGTTGTAATTTATCCCTCCTTTCCACCACCCTCCCCCCTTGCTGGCTGCTCCTGCCCTTCTTGACCTGGTTTGGTAGTGTTAAAACATTTCAACCCAGAAAAACAGCCATACTCTATGGATCTGAACCAAATCCTCCTTTGAAAAAAAGCCAGACCCTCCTAATGATCTTTCTTTGCAGATGTACACAAACAGCTCCCAGACTAATCAAGGGCCTTAAGAAAGGAACTGGGAGATTGGAGCATTTCTATAAAGGGCAAGGAGAATTCTAAAGTCTCAAATTACTTGAGGATAAAAAATTACTTGAAGGGACACCTGGGTGGCTCAGTAGATTGGGTGACTGCCTTTAGTTCAGGTCATGATCTTGGAGTCCCAGGACCGAGTCCCACATCAGGCTCCCTGCTCAGTGGGGGGTCTGCTTCTCCCTCTGATCCTCTCCCCTCTCATGCTTTCTCTCTCTCCCTTATTCTCTCTCTCTCAAATGAATAAATAAAATTTAAAAAATTACTCGAAGATTTGGTGTGAAAACATGTCTCTTAAGGAAACTTTTTTTCCCTCATAAAACGGCATGAATTTGAAAAGTAATGAAAATATGAAAATCTGCATAATCCCACCACCCTAGCTGAACACTTTTAGTCATTTGGCACGTTTTTATTCATGCTTCTTTCCTCATCAGAAAAATAATTTCTTTACTGAAACCTACTTTAAAAATTTTATTTATTTATTAATTTGAGAGAGAGAGAGAGAAAGAGAGAACGAGTGGGAGGGAGGGGCAAAGGGAGAGGGAGGAACAGACTCCCTGCTGAGCAGGGAGCCCCATGTGGGGCTCCATCCCAGGACCCCAATATCATGACGTGAGCTGAAGGCAGATGCTTAACTGACTGAGCCACCCAGGCACCCCTATTGAAACCTGCTTTAAATGCAACTTTTGAGTTTTGGTGTTTAACCTTTTTTGTACATACTTCCAAGTGCACACCACCATAATATAGCCATAAAAGCATGGGGTGTATGTTTTTCTTGGGTTTCAGAGAAAGAATTGACATGTCTTCTTAGAGGAAGTGGCTGCAAAATGCTATTAAGAACAAAAGCTCTGTACTACTGGGTATTTACCCCAAAGATACCAGTGTAGGGATCCGAAGGGGTACATGCACCCCGATGTTTATAGCAGCAATGTCCACAATAGCCAAACTGTGGAAAGAGCCAAGATGTCCATCGACAGATGAATGGATAAAGAAGATGTGGTATATATATACAATGGAATATTATGCAGCCATCAAAAGGAATGAGATCTTGCCATTTGCAATGACGTGGATGGAACTGGAAGGTGTTATGCTGAGCGAAATAAGTCAATCAGAGAAAGACATGTATCATATGACCTCACTGATATGAGGAATTCTTAATCTCAGGAAACAAACTGAGGGTTGCTGGAGTGGGGGGTAGGGTGAGAGGGGTGGGGAAGCTGGGTGATAGACACTGGGGAGGGTATGTGCTCTGGTGAGCACTGTGAATGGTACAGGACTGTTGAATCACAGATCTGTACCTCTGAAACAAATAATGCAATATATGTTAAGAAAAAAAAAAAGAAGATAGCAGGAGGGGAAGAATGAAGGGGGGAAATCAGAGCGGGAGACGAACCATGAGAGACGATGAACTCTGAAAAACCAACTGAGGGTTCTAGAGGGGAGGGGGGTTGGGAGGATGGGTTGGCCTGGTGATGGGTATTAAGGAGGGCACGTTCTGCATGGAGCACTGGGTGTTATGCACAAACAATGAATCATGGAACACTACATCAAAAACTAATGATGTAATGTATGGTGATTAACATAACAATAAAAAAATTTTTTTAAAAAGAACAAAAGCTCTGTATTGTGGTTCTGTTAGCAGGTTCTAGAAAATTAGAATCTATAAAAATAAAAAAATGTTTCTTCTCTGTTGAACATAAGTTTATAGCAGGAAAGAACAACCCCCAGAGAAATCCAGCTGCTATAGCCAAAGATATTCTTTTTTTTTTTTGGTGAGGCAGTGTTAGGGATGAGGAAGCTAAGTACCTATGTACACTCAGAACTTAACTTCCCCATCCTTAAAATCCGCATCTCTCTCCACAGTAGATTGGAAGGACTCATTTTAATGCTGATTTTCTTTGTTCAGCACTCAGATGGCCTACTGGCCAATTAGCATGCTATATATTTCGCCCCATAGTTATTGGAAGCAATGAGGTGGAATAGAATGTGTGCTGGCCTGGGAGTCAAGAAATCCTAGCACAGTGCCTGGCACAGAGTAGGCACTAAATAAATAATCATTCAATTTAGTAGACCTGTGTTGTAATCCTAGGTTTTGTCATTAACTTACTGAAAAGTTGGTAACTTTTTGAAGAGAAAGAGAGCTTAAATTGATCTATCTTAGTTACCTTCCCCCAATATCTAGACCTGGGCTAAGGAAAAAAATGGTTAACCAAAGATACTTAAGCCCCTCTAGTCTCTAGTTTCTTAAACTACAAAGTGGGAAATAACAACTCTTGCCTATCTTGTAAGGGATAAGGGTATTAAGCCAGGTAATATACAAGTGTGAAAGTACATTGAAAAATATAAAATATTACACACATGTAAGGCATTATTAAGATTATTGGTAGAAGCCCCAAATTCACTGATGGGGGGGTAGGTGAGCTGAAAAACAAAGGGTTAAGTCTGCATTTCTAGGTCATAATTATCTGCTGGTGGGCACTGAGAGAGCTGTATGCAACTTCAGTGACATAATCTGATACCAAATGAATAGGAAGGGGCTCTGAGTTTGAATCCATCACTAGAGACTACAAAAGATCATTTTTATGTAACTCAGAATTCTCATCAGCATCCATGATTGCCTTGCTGCATATGTTTGGAAAATGAATGATTGCTTATATCTCCATTTCTCTATCAGCATAATGGGGCAATCGATACCTTCCTCATAAAAGTTTTGTAAAGATGCATGCAGGAAAGGCAGAATATAACTCCAAGAGCCTGGATCAAGATAGAAGGGTTTTTTCCTTAAATCTCTTCAAGACTAAATGACATACCCCCAGGAGCAACCATAGAAAAGAAGCCCACTTTCTGAGATAAATTTCTTATTCTTAACCCAAACACAGGTAGTTATGCTCAAGAATCTAATTTCTTAAGAATTTTGAAAGTGTATCTTGAAAGGGAAAATAAAGTTGTGCTTTGATTACTTTCCCACTTTAATAAAACTTTCTTTTAAACCATCTTAATTTAAAATGAATCAAAGTCCGGCCTTTGGCCACTTTGACATGCAAACAGTATACTGGACCAACACCAAAAACTCCAGGCAACTCTACTCACTGCAACCCAAGTTGTGTGTTTGGAACCTGTAAACTGCATCTCGTTGGGCCACACTGCATTGACATGACATAATGTAAGTAAAATTGAACAGGTTTATGGTAACAGCAAGGAGAGTGCTTATGTTAACTCTGACTGCCACTGAACTGTAGCACTAGAGTTAAAAGACAGAAAGGGGATTAGAGTTTGTTCTGCGTGTTGGAGAGCTGCCTTTTTACTGACTCAACCAAGCTGGGCTGTATTGTTCTAGTCTGACTTCATTATTTTGGCAAGATTTGAAATCGACACTATAGGTTGGAAGTTCTGAGATGAGGTAATTGATGCCAGAAAATGATTGATTGATGAGCAAAAATAGTCTTTCTATTTATTATTTTTATTAATCAGTGATAATGGATTCAGAATCATCTCCTGCTGATTTTTAAACATTTGTCTTGTTATGAAAATGCCGTTAGCTTTTGAATTAATCACTTGCAAAAGTAGCTACAGATGGATAAATTTCTGCTTACCTCCCCCCACCAAGACAGCATAAAAGAACACACCCAACATCAAATAACAAACACAAGTACACATACACAAATGTGCCTCCTTCCTGAACTGTTTTTTACAATTTGTTCACAAGTAAGTTTCTGAAATTGTGAATAGAGTTGCAAAGGCCTGTGATTGTAGCTTTTAATCATATAGCTTACCACCAAGTTCCTAAGTGACTGCCATATAGCATAGCACATGACAGGAGGTTTCTGAGGATGGTTTCTAACAGTAAGCGACCTCTCAATTATCTTCAACAATTGCACATCCACTTGTTCTGAATACTGCCTTATGAGAAATTACATCCTGTCCTAACTCGCCTGCTGATATCTTAGAGACCAAGAAGACAATGCTAAAGGATGGGGGACTTTCCATTTCTCTTTGCCTTTTCTTTCATTCAGAGACTATGACCTGCTGTATCTCAATAGGCTGAAATCTATGAACAGCAGATGAGGTGGTGGAAAAAGCGTTAGGTAGTTCCCCAGGGCTGATGGAGCCAGAATCACTTTGTACTGAGCCTCCACTGTTCTCAAACTGGGAGATTTTCTTTTTGATCATCTTTCTTTCCTTGGCTCTGCGATTCTGAAACCAGATTTTCACCTGAAACAAAAAATGCTTTAGATTTAATGGGGCATCATACTGAATGCAGTTTTCATAGTCATTGCTGATACTGTACAAGGATTTTAGCATTTACAAAGCCCTATCATGTGTATCACTTCATTTGAGCCTCCCAATGACCTTGTGAAGTATACCTATTTAACAGGTTAAAAAAAAAAAAAAACCTGAGACTGAGAGAAGGAAAGTATCTTGCTTGAGATGAAACTTGGAGATAAAATCCAGGGCTACTGATTCTAAATGCAGTGCTCTTTATATGACACCTTATCCAACACCTCTGTTGCACAGGTAGAAATAAATGATAGAATGGCAGATGCTGAGGTGTGGTGATAAAAAGGGAGGGATTTAAATAACAAAGATGATTACTATCTGTCATTAAAAGTAACTTCCAATAATAAGTTTAATGAAACACAGAACTGGGTGAACAAGGGTGATGAAATACTGTATCTCTTGCTGTGATACCAATGTGCCTTCATACCTGGATAAAGTGCAAGCTGCTTGGGATAGGTAACACACTAATGGACTTTCCAATTCTAGCATTCTATGATTCCAGGATTACTTCTAGACTTAAGTGAAAAAACATCAGGTAGTTGTGTAATGTCAAAGTTTAGGTAAATGGAAACCATTGATCCTTATCATGCTTTATTGAGTACCTACAGTATGTTAAATTTGAGGCAGGCATCGTAGAATTATACAGACCATAGAAAATTAAATTTCCAACCCTGAATAATAGAAAAACTTAGTTCAGGTAGCAGCATTGGCATTCAGTTACTATTATAGTTTGACTGATGTGAACCAGATAATAGCCATGATTGCCAAATTGCCACTTCATACATTGGTTGTGACTACTTGGGGAGTCAATCAAGGTTTTGACTTGACTGATTAGTTCTATGGGAGTTTTAATTCTTCACCTCCTATGTCCCAACCCTTTGCTTCTCCATCTGCACACTGCCTACCACATTCAATTATTAATAAACCCACTGACCAATGAGACTAAACCAGGAGGTCCAGTAGGATGAATGTGGGCTTTAAGAGAGCTTGGAAAATGTCTTGGTCTTCTGTTTTGCTTTCACTCTTGCTTACAGACTTCCCTAAAACCTCAGCCTATTGAAATAACTATTTAAGACATGTTGGTTGTACTTCCAGTGTACCTGTCTTTCAGAAAGACCCAGGTTGACTGCCAGTTCTGATTTTCTCCGAATGGTGATGTATCTATTGCAGTGGAATTCCTTCTCTAGCTCCAGTCTTTGATGATCTGTGTAAACCACACGATACTTTTCTTTTGTCCTGGTTTTCCCTGTTAGGGGAGAAAGCAATATATTTAATCATATTTTACTTCTTTGGAGATTGTTTTGGTTGAAGGAATCACAACTACTGTTCCCATCCTTATCTATTACTTTCAAATATGAAACAGGTACATTTTTTGAACCAAATATGTCATATATCCACTTTTCCATTAAATTCTTTGTCATCTGTAGCTGTTTTATACACATATATATGTGTACATATATACACACATATATATATATATATAAAACCTATCACACCATCATTGACCTACTTACACCAAAGTATTTTTTTTATTTTTTATTTTTATTTTTTTAAAGATTTTATTCATTTATTTGACAGAGAGATAGCGAGAGCAGGAACACAAGCAGGGGGAGTGGGAGAGGGAGAAGCAAGCTTCCTGCCAAGCAGGGACCCTGATGGGGGGTGCTCAATCCCAGGACCCTGGGATCATGGCCTGAGCTGAAGGCAGATGCTTAACGACTGAGCCACCCAGGCACCCTCCTTTCTTTTATTTTTTTTAAAAGATTTTATTTATTTATTTGACAGAGAGAGAGATAGCGAGAGCAGGAACATAAGCAGGGGGAGTGGGAGAGGGAGAATATTTTATTTTTTAAAGCAAACACTTAATCCATGATTTTCATTCCCTTCCCTTCCCACTCACATATAGAAACAGCATTGGCAGTAGTAGCAACATATGGCATACGTACACTTCCCTTTACATTTTATGCAGTTCATTCATACCATTTCCTATTGAACCCCTCACCTACACTTTTGAATTATGCAGAATATGTCTTATCCCCATTTTGCCAATAAGAAACCTGAAGCTCAGTGTAGTTAAGTGGTTTTGTGCTAGTGAGCTGAAGTGCCAGGACCCAAACACATACCTCTGACTCCCAGTCCAGTATGCTAAATATTATTCCCAGTTTAAATATGCTGGGAAGTATAAGAATGGCCCAAGTGTGGCAAACTATTCTGTGATCCTGACATTATTAGTTACATACATTCCTAGTTATATATATATATATATTCTAGAGAGAGTTTTGTTTGGATAATAATTTAAAAAGAAAACATTTATTGTCACTTAGATTCTGTTCTAGGATAGCCCCTATTATCTACTAGAAAATTTTTTTGTGTGTGTGAGGGTCTTAAATCAACTATTATTCCCAAGTGGCTAATCAATGGGGGAAGGAGGAGGTGTTGACTTAAGCAGAATAAAATGCATATTCTAGTATTCTTTGAAAAGATATACAAACATTTGCTTTGTGTTACAGCATTTAACTAATTTCTCATGTCCTTCCTCAAATAGAGTTTTATTCCTCCTTTCAAATTTTCCAAAGGTGATTAGGAAGCTTCCCTTTCTTTTCAATTTTTCTAACTCCCTCCAGGATCTTCCTCTTTTGCTCTATGGCATTTGGCAAACTGCTTCTGATCTTCCCTGGTTGTTTTTGATGTGAGGTTTTGGGGAGCGATCTGTAGGACAAAGGTTTCTTTAAAGTGGTTCTCTAAACCCCATTGAGGTGTTAAGATGCAGCACAGGCCTAACAAAGGAGCTACATAGCATCAGATCCCATCCTGAACCCTCTTTACATTCAGGAACACCAGCCAGTTGGTTTGGAATTTACAAGCCCTAACAGATGTCAGACACTCTTTCATCTCCAGGAAAGAAAAAAAGGGACATGAACATAGAAACAAATTCTGGATGAGAGATATGTTTTAGTATTAAACTTAATGGCTGAATAACTCATGGACTAATAAACTAAACAAAACTTTTCTCCTTGAAAATTGAAAATGATGAGTCCTAGTCAATTAACCTACCTGGAAGGCCCAGACTTTGAGCTGGTTTTTAAAATCCAAACAGAAACCCAGGAAACCAGGGGTCTGGCATTTGGTTAGTTACAAAGGCAGAATGTATATTTGAGATCACAATGAAAACTTTGAGGTTTAATTTATTTCCAGAACCTCATATCTTACGATCAAAATATATTTTTGAAGAGATGTTTCCTAAAACCCTTTCTAATCCCAAAGTAGCTGAGTATTTAAATTCTAACTTGAGGCAGAAGTTAAAATTCAACTTGTGCATTTCTGTGTTTTCTGCTCTTTGATAATCAGTAAATATAACCAGACTTCAAGAACTCTGGAAGGTTGCAGTCCTTCCCCACCCCCATTGGTCATAAATTCCCCTCTTGCAGTTTCTTCTAAGGACAATAAAGTTAAGACCACTTTATTTGCCATGAAAATCCTCACCCTTTCCGGCAATATAACCCCTGAAGAAAGGAGGGATGAGGAAGAGCCAGGCTGCATATCAAAGCCATATGAAGTGTTAAAAAGAGTCTGTTGCCTCAATCTGACAGATAAGACCTCAAACCTCAAGAAGATGTAGCTCAGGGGAAATACTGACTGCACATTTTGCAAAGAGAAATGAATTCCTCCTGTGTCCCTCCTCCTGAACTCTCTTCTCCTGTCTCATTGCCTCTGCCCCTTAAATGATGAAATTGGACTGAATGGGATTTGGACATCTTCTAGTAGAGCATAATATCCATATTCTCATACCAAACCAAAGCAAAGAGGATGAAAACCAGTTTCCTTCTATAGGGAAAACAGTGCAATTGACCCTGTACAATGACTTTCTATCTTAAGATAACCCTTTGCTGCTTTTAGTTAAAAATTGCATCCAAATTCATTTAAAAAATTGTCCAACGAAATGGTCGAAACCAAGGAGCACAATGATAAGCTTCAAGAATTAGTAAGCAGCTTATTTTCTGAAGTGTATTAATTGAGTAAAACATTTTAAGTATAACTTCCCCAGTGTTTTGTCCAGTGGCTTAATCAGAATTACTCAGTTACTTCCTTCTCTCCCCCTCTTTCCCACTTCTAACAAAAAAGCCTTTCTCCAGCTCTACTTAGATTATCACCTTGCCAAAACTCATTTGAGACTACAACTCTGGGTAATAGAAAAAAATGAAAAAATAATTCCTAGCTGTAATGCACTAACAATGTTTAAAATATGAAAATACTAAACTTTTCACAGAACCTTTCTGTAGGTTCCTCTTCATGTAATCTTTAAAATGAGATGTGTATTGGAACAGACCACTTAGAGAACAAAGTGTAAATAAAAATATCTTTCTTTTTAATCAAATCACCTAGGGGACAGACATTTACTCTGTCAGTCCCCTTTCCTTAGAAAATCAAATGTGATAATAGTCATTATGAAATGTTTCTGATTGTTCCCTAATATGTGTATTCTTCTTTCTTTAGCTTAAGGTTATTTAAAATAGTCTTCAGTAATGGGAAGACTTTTGATTACCTTAATCAGAGAAGGGTTACTTCCATTTTGCAGTTCATCTAATTATCTTCTCAGCCATAAGCCAAATGTTGTCCCACGATATTACAGAGTGAAGTAGAAAATTCAGGAGGATCTGATTCATTCATTCATTTAACAAATATTTGTTTAACACTATGTACTAAACATACAAATAGGTGCATTTTGGTTTAGAGTGGTCCACTGAAGTGATCAGCTTAATTTTTTTGTGTGTAATTCATAACCTGAGATCCATAGAAGGGCTTCAGTGGATCCATGCATCTCCCAAAATTATTTTAAAAATGATGTGTGTGTGTATGTGTGGGCATATGTGTGTATACGCACATGCATGTGGGTGCAAGTATGTATCCTTTTGTGCATTTTTCTGGAGAGAGTGTCCATACTTTTCATTATATTCTTGAACTGCTGCTAAATCTGTACCTTGGGCTACAAGCATATAGCAAAAAGATAATTTTAATTTATAAGACATTAAAATGAAATAAAGATAGACTCTAATAAAGCCTCATCTACAAGATAAGCTCCAAGAGTCAGAGGGGTTCCAAAATAATTCAATTTTAAATTTCTTAGTAGAATTTGGAGAAGAAAACCTTGTGAAGGTGGCATTGTACAGCCAGGTTTAAAGGTTTGTGATGAAGATATCACAAACTAAGGAGTCCCTTTCTAAACTTCTCCTGGCACCAGCATTACCCAAGAGGGAGACCTGAGCTCATAAAAGCAAATGCAAATGGGAGACTTTTAAGCAGAGAAACCTGTCATATTGTCTCTCATAAACAAAAAATTCAAGACTCAAGATCATTTCTTTTGTCCTTCCCCCCCATTGTTCTCTCTTCCAAACATACTAATGACTTTCCTCTTCTAATGTGTTTCAAAACATAATCTTGGACTGGGAGCAGCTACTTTTTGACTTTTGTGTCTTTTGCTGATCTTAGGGTTTAGTAAATGGATGTTAATTACAACCCTAAGATTAGATGTAATAACAGCCCCAGGAGTGCCCCACCTTCACCTAATTTTTTATTCTACAACCAGAAGGCTCACCCATATTTTAAAAATGAAGATTTACTTCCAAACACTTTAAAGCCAAGTGTTTAAGCTCTATTCTTAATTTGGGATTGCTATCCTAGTAATGTCCCAATCAACCGGAACTGCCTCTTTCTAGCTAAGAGTCCTCCTAATGGTAAACGTTGTTCCCTTCCCACTCTCCTGCCTTTGCTTTTTAAAGGGGAGAAAAAGTGCAGAACTGTGAACTAAAGCATAATCATTATGGACAAATGCTATTGAAATTCATTTCCTCCTCAGAGGGATAAAAATGATAGAGTCAAATTTTACCAATTTCTCTAATGACATAGAGCGATAGGTTGGAATAATAAAAATGTGATAAAAGAACAACTACAGCTGAAAACAAACATCTCCTGCCTCCCCCCATCCAAGATTAAAGCAGAGTGCCCATTTCCCCTGCCTTGGGCTCCCAGCAGCCACCCACTGCCTTGCTGGTACCAGCATGGGTCAGCATTAGGCTGGAATCTCTGGGCCTTCCTGCACTCCATTACAGACCTACATCCAACCCCTGTGTCCCCAGAAGCCTTCCTGGACAGTTATGAAGTCTTTAACCACCTATTAGTGCTGGGGCTGTTATTCCCGCATGCCCTAGGGATGTTAGAGTTGAGTAGCTTATGATGTCCCGGCAGTGTGCTGTTGTCTTCTCACCTGACTCAACGCTTCCATTGGCAGAAAGGAGTTTGGAAGAAGGCAATGGGTTTGAGTCCAGCTTGCCTCTGCCACCTTGGGTGAAGGAAGCTGCAGCTTCCTTGAGAGGCCAGGCGATGAGGCTATTTTGCCACTGGGGCTTTCGTGGCTTAACTGAAGGGTCCATTGCCAACCAAGCACCATGAAACCAAAGTTGAGTATCACCAGCATTTCAGGAGAGCAGACCTGCCCAGAAGGGGAAGGGTTTTAAATGGAAATGGCAAGTAGAAGTGATAGCATTGGGTTGGTGGCTATCCTCTTGCCTCATTCACCCATTGACCTTTCCTGTGCATCTGTTTTCCCATCTGGGCCACTACACTGTTGGATCCTGATCCTTGTGGCTCAATGTGTCCATTGTCCACCAGCTCGCTCCCTTGACACATCAGGAAATGATGAAAAACACTCCCAGGATCGGTTTGGTTCCAAGCACTGCACCCTTCTGGCTTTGAGCAGAGGCACATGCAAGGGAGGTCACTAATGGGAGGGGATCCTGGGCACTCAGCCCCGCAGTAGTCCTCAGCTAAACTGTCCCTGGAAAGTCCTGAGAAGTAGGAGGGCAGCAGACAGGCCAACAGAAGTAGAAGCCAAGCAAAGGAAGGAGAAGTGTGAGGGCATTGGGATCAATTACTCACCGGTCACCTGCACTGTCTTGCGCATCCACGCATAAGGGCTGTGGCGGCTTCTGTTGGGAGAAGTGGCATCCGGGGCGTCGGGGTCTATGGGGAACAGTGACCCGCTGGCTGGGGCTGGCAGGCTGCCATTGCTGCTTCCCCCGCCCGCAGGGCCCAAGTTGCTGTATTCCTGAGAGCCAAAAGTGGAAGGGCTCGAGGTCATGTCGTTCATGGGTACTGTGCCCATTGTACTGGATGGCCCGGGGTACACAGTCCAGTCTTCTCGAGGGGGACTATACGGTGAACTCCATACCCCCAGCGACGGCCCGTGAGGATCCATGCTGGGCATATGGGGATACCCCATGTAGTGCGCATAGGCAGGGGCCGCAGTGAAGTTGGAGGCTGGCAGGGGACTCCCACCACTCCCAGTGCCGCTAGTCCCGGCGGTGCTGCCTCCCGCGGGGCTCCTGAGAGTGCCCACGTACATGCCTGCTTCTTTTTCCAAAAGGCAGCTTCTGTACATAGTGGCTTGGGTATGAGGAAGGAGCTCCCTAAGCCATTCTCAAGTTCTTGTAAGGCCCCAGCCCGACTTTGAGAAGCAGCAGGGAATCAATAGGTCAGTCGGCAGCTGTGCTGCACGCCCTCCTGTGCCTCTCAGACTACTCCATCCGCGTTTTCTACCCGTCAGGTTTCCAGGTGACTGGTAGCCCGGTATAGATGGGCCACCAATGGCTAGGCTGACGTCAAGGGGCTTCAGGCTTTTACATAGCATTTGCATTCAAATGAAGGGCCATTTCACTTTCACAGGGACTTGTTCACTCTGAGCTCCCTCTCCCAGAGCTCCCAGGCCTTTCTGTCTCATCTTTCTCACTTTTGTCCATCTGGTCTCCATAGCACTAGTTTGTGCTTTTGGAGGCAGAAGTTCCTCCAGGGGTTTCTGACCGGTTCCCTCCAAAGTGAGATGAAGACAGGCAGAAGCAGGGCGAAGTCCTGCTCTTTGGGATTCAGTCCTTACCCTGGGGCCTCCTCTTTCTGCTGAACTTCCCTTGCTCAGCCCAGCCTGCATCTGTGGTATTCCCTCTTCCCACATTCCCCTGCAGGGGTACTCCACTGGAACTGGCCCAGGATACCACTGAAAAGAGCTTTCCCTTCTCTGACCCGCTCCCTCCCCCAGAAGGAGGGCTTTGTTTCTAAGAACAGATTCATTTCACAAGTATATATTGTGTGTCCACTGAGTGCTAGGCACTGCTGTAGGCACTGGGAATACATACAGCAGTGAAAAAGAGACAAACATATTTGCTCTGCCTTCCTAAGGTTACATTCCAGGGGACAACAGGCTGGATTAATTGGATGTTTCAGAAACATGCACAAATTAAAGAAAGATGAAGAGAGTAGGTTACAAAGAAAAAAGAAGGAAAGGGAGAAGAACCATGTGGGTAATGGGCTTTCTTCTTTTCATGTCAGTTCACTAGTCTCAGGTGTCTTTCTACCAGGTATGACTTCTGCCTCAAAGCCAGTGCCCCAAGGGGTCAAATTCCTGCAGTCTCAAATCCAGGGCAGCCACAACTTCCAACTTTCTTTCACACTTGAGGAAATTTCCTTTGTAAAGCTCCAATTATTGAAAAAGGATTGGCTTGCCAGCAGATACCAAATGAACACAAGATTTTGGTTCAAGATATCAGATAAACTTCTGACCACAAAACCAATCTGTATCCCAGTGTTCTTTCCCAGCCCCCCTCCCCAAACCTACCACAATCTTTAATCTAGGCTGTGCTCCTACTCAGGGAATGTGCTCCTCTATAAAGTTCAATCCAAACTGGCACCCCTATTAACTGATCTCTCTTTGGCTTTGGGAATATCACTTCGCCTCCGGGAGTTTCAGGGATGTTTCCTGAGTAAGATAGAGATCCTAACAGTGTCTACATTACAAGGCAGACTTTACTGAGATAATATATGCAAATTGCTTAACTTAGTGCATGGTACACAGTATGCAACCACTGTATTCATTAATTCACTCAACAAATATTTATTGACTTCTAGGTGCTGTTCTATGCATTGAGATATCAATAGTGAACAGACAAAACCCCTGACCTTATTAAGCTTATATCCTAGTGGGGAGAGACACTAATAAGAAATTACATTTTATGGTTTGTCAGATGGTAATGATCAATGCTGTGAAAAAAAGAAAGCAGGAAGGAGGATACAGAATGCTGGGGGCGGGGGTTGCAATATTAAATGTGGTGGTTTGGGAAGACCTCACCTTGAAATGACATTAAATAAAATATAGAAGAGGTACTGGTATGAGCTATAAGGAGAAGATCCAGACAGAGGGAACACATGAAAAGAGAATGAGAGAATGTCTGTCTTCTACTAGAGAAACAGTAAACAAAGCAAAACTGCGTGGCTAAAGAATAGATGCGGTCCAAAAGCTAAAGGGGAGAATGTCGTTGTAAAGATTCTAGTTTTTGTTCTAAGTGAGGTAGGGAGACATTGTAGGGTTTTGAGCAGAGGAGTGACATTATTTAAGTTTTGAAGGGATCACTCTAGCAGTTGGATTAAGAATAGACTGTAAGTGGATTGATTAATTAAAAGGTTATTGCAATAATCCAGGTGAATGGCATTGGGGATGGAGGAAAGTGGTTAGATTCTGGATATATTTTGAAGCCTGCTCTGGAGAAGAAGGAGGAGAAGGAACAGAAGTAATTGGTCAGCAAAGACTAATTAAAGCCTGGCACTGGTAAAAGGGATTTAGGGACAGGGAAAGTAACATACCTGTAAAGACACTTTTTACAAATGATCTCATTTAATTTTCACAACAGCTCAATGAGCTATTTATTAGTATTATTCCCACTTTAGAGATGAAGAAACTGAGGCTCAGAGAGGTGCCATGGCTATTTAAATGAACCACTAATGAGGAGTATAGTTAGGTTCCCATCCTAAGCCATCCTAACTTCAAAGTTTATGTATTTAAATTGGAACCAGTCTAAATGTACAACCTCAGGGCTTAGGACTGGGGCTTGGATTCTATTTTCTTTCTCTGCTCAGGCTCCCAGGCCTGGCATTTAATACTATTCATATCATGGACCCAATTATCCTTGTATTATTCTCTTTCACCTATTCTATACTGAGGCAAACTGGTTTACCTGACGTTTGAAAAACTGTATCAGGATGGAAGCACATGGAGGACCTTTAAAAGTTAACTAACCAATATTATCATTTTACCTATGAGAAAACTGAGGGCCTGAGAGGGGAAGGTATTCTTTAAGGAAGTGAATGACAGAACTGAGGTTCAAACTCAGGTCTGTTGCCTCCTAGATCAATACTCTTTCTACTAAAAAGTGTCTTTGCTTATGCAATTCCTTCTGTACAGACTGTTTTTCTTTATTAAAAAATGTTCAAATTCTCCCTATTCTTCAAGGCTCAGCTCAAATGCCCCCTCCTCCCTAAAGCTTTATGTGATGGTGTTCCTCTCAAAAGGCACTCTTCCAATGAAAATGAAATCTTGCCATTTGCAATGACATGGACAGAACTAGAGAGTATTATGCTAAGTGAAATAAGTCAGTCAGAGAAAGACAAATGCCATATGATTTCACTCATATGTGGATTAAAAGTGAAACAAATGAGCAAAGGAGGAAGAAGAGAGAGGCAAACCAATAAACAAACTCTTAACCATAGAGAACAAACTGATGGTTACCAGAGGGAAGGTGGGTGGGGGGATGGGTTAAATAGGTGATGGGGATTAGGGAGTGCACTTGCTGTGAGGAGCACCAGGTGATGTCCCGAAGTATTGAATCACTATATTGTACACCTGAAACTAATATTATACCATATATTAACTAACTGGAATTTAAATAATAAAAACTTATTAAAAAAATTTTTTTTATTATTATGTTCAATTAGCCAACATATAGTAAAGAAAGCACTCTTCCTGAATTCCATTATCAACTTCCCTCCTTCATTAACTAATACTATTCTTGTCCACCTTAGAATTGTTTGGGGTTCTATCTGAATCTTTTGGAATTTGAGCACCTTGAAGGGGTATGAGGAAGCATGTTTGAGCCCAGCAGAGTGCAGTGTCATGCAGATGGTAGGATCTTGGGAAATATTTGTGTGCTGAATCAATAAATGACCTTGGAACTATAGACTGGAAATCATCATTTTGACCCAGCTCCAAGGATGTCTAGAAGAGAAGCCAGTAAAGTGTTTGGCAGAACTTGGCTTCAGAATACTTCATTTTATGATTTGTTTGTTTCCAGGAGGGTGGGAGTGGGTTGGGGAAGTGGGGAGTCAAAGGGGAGGCAGAAAGGTGGGGAGGTTCAGCCTAGTTTATTTGACTGGAGATTTTGATTTTTTTTAAGATTTTATTTATTTATTTGAGAGAGAGAGAGAGATAGCGAGAGAGAGCATGAGTGGGGTGTGGGGAGAGGGAGAAGCAGGCTCCCTGCTGAGCAAGGAGCCCTAGGCAGGGCTAGATCCCAGGAACCCCGGATCATGACCTGAGTGGAGGGCAGACTCTTAACCGACTGAGCCACCCAGGTGCCACTGATTTTTTTCTTCACCTGAAGATTCACCAGAGAGGCCGTCTCACTGAAGAAACCAGAGTGGCCAGCAGCGGGAGTCAAACCCCATAGCCTGAAGATCAGGACTCAGGCCATGCAGGGTTACTTAGTACTTCTAGGGAGTGATCTCTCAGTTTTCCTGAGACTTAGAGAGGCATTGGTCAAATAGGGCCTCTGTTAGACATTCCCCTTCCACTGCCTAGTTCTGGGCTGACCCCCACAGACCAGGTTAATTATAAGGCTTGCAGGAGAGAATGAATGTGAAATTGCTTTGTGAACAGTGCAGTACACCTGTGATGGACTATAGGGATCTGGGTAAGCCTTTTCTTTAGCAGGCTTAATGCTTGGGAGGTTCTCATAGGAAAAATAGCACTGAAAATAGAAATCACTTAATACAGATGTTGGGAGAATTCAGTGCTCCAGTCATGTGCTCAAAGAAAAGCCATTATTATTAGAGTGACTAGGACTTCCACAGGGCATGGACCTACCGTGCCTACTCTAGCCCACATCCATGCATGGAAGGTGCTGAGATTGGGGAGAAGACCCAGAACAGTTTAAACACCTATGCCTATTGCCTTTCCAATCAAACTTTGCTCTCTGGGCTTTAAAGATAGCTCCCTTCCACTCACCCAACCCCATCTCCCTCCCTTAGTTCTTTGGAGCCTTAGTGACAGCAGTGCTCAAGTCTTGGGCAGGGAAGGGGCCTTGTGTTCTTTCCATCCATATTTATCATTATGATGGGCTTACTCTGGAGAATGAGCACCACTAGGCTCCAGGCCTGTCCCAAAGCATTGCAGTGGGGGCAGGACCAAGGTGTGTCTTGGTGAAAGATTGAGGTTCTTTCATGGGAACATGAGTTTAGGGTTAGGGTTAGGCCAGGGCTCTGTACCTACCAGGCCCTCAGGGCCAGCTGCCTAGTTCTGGATTAGGAGAACAAGAGGAATTAGGAAGCTCCAGGGCTCTG